GAGAGCTATCTGTAGGGTTTTCTTGTATTCTTATAATTACATTTGTTTACTTATTTGAGAGACAGAGGGAAGGGCTCTCATCTGCTAGTTCACTTCTCAAGTGCCCATAAATGCTAGCCATAAATGCTAGCTGGGCCAGGTTTAATCCAGGAGTAAGGCAATAGGACTCAGGCCTCCCATGTGGGTGGCAGGATCCAAGTTGCATGGGCCATCACCACTGGCTTCTGCATTATAGAAAGCTGGAATCAGGAGCCAGAGCAAGGAATCAAACCCCTGTACTCCAATATGGAAGGTGGGCATCTTAGACAGTAAAATCAAATACTCACCCCAAATGAAGTACTTTTTAAACACAGCTAAAAACTGTCTACTAGAATTATCTAAAGATACTATGTTTCCTTTATTTTTTTCCTATCTTCCCAATTCTGTAAAATCTCTAATTAGCATGAAGGATTCCTTTCAACTTTTCAATTATTTCATGAGTTCTTTAGCATTACTTTCATTAAAGAGTTTTCATATTTTTCAGTATATTTCTCTATCTGTGTTCATAGATATACATGTATGTATATGTCTGTATGTATAACTACTCTATATGCTCATGGCAAGTTTGATTTAAAATCTTATGCAAAATTCAACTACTTAAAAATAATTTTGAGGAGCTGGCGTTGTAGCATAGCATGTAAAGCCATTGCCTTCAATACTGGCATTCCATATGGGCACCAGTTTGAGATCCAACCGCTACACTTCCAACCTAGCTCCCTGCTAATGCACCTAGGAAAGCAGCAGAAGACGGCCCAAAGGCTTGTACCCATGCACCAATGTAGAAGATCTTGACTTCTAGCTTTGGTCTGCCCAGCCTGGGCTGTTGCAGCCACTGGAGAGTTGATCAGTACATGAAAGATCTGTGTGTGTGTTTGTGTGTGTGTGTGTGTTCCTCTCTGTAACTCTTAGTTTCAAATAAATAAATAGATCTTAAAAAATAAGTAGCTTTGAGAAATAGTAACATCAATCTAAGATAATATAAAGCTGTAATTTTTGACACAAAGTACTGTAAACACAAAGGCCAAAAAATAATAATTTAATGAATGCTATCCTTCTGAAGAGAAAGCACTATTCACTAATCTACTTTGATAAATTCACCAAATAGCCTAAATAAGCAGTGTGTTCACATACACCAAATGGTTAAGGAAAAGGGAATTTGTTGACAATAATAAAAGCAAGATCTCCTACTTTGACCATATAATTCTTATTTTTCATATTTGTTTCTGTTTATAAAAGTTGGTCTTTAATCATTGTGATTAAATTTTACACTAAACTCATGAAAAATCTACCAACATAAATCCGCCTGTTTAAATATAGAAAAACTACATATGCAGGTGACCACCAGGAAAATCGTAATATGTAACAGTATTATTGGTCAAAATTATATTGGATTCCCTTCATTGACAACTAAGTGATAAACAAACAGGAAATTAATCAAGCATCCTTCCCACTTAGGAAGAATGAATGATTGGTCAGTCATATATAGTGTTGACATTTTGTCATGGTTATGAGAAGACAGTTTTGTTGACAATCATGTGTGCTCTACTGCATATTTAATGCAACATAACCCACATAACTATAGAGCAATCTACATCAGAGTTCAGCATGCCTCATATTTAAGCCTCATCTCTTAAATTGAAATATACTTTCAAGCATTATGAAAGAACATTTCAATTGAAATTAATCATCTACCCAATATTGAAGAAAAATGGGGTATATTCTACTCATGTAACAAATTTACACATCAGAAATTTTTCCAGTGTTCCTTTTTATATTTACATTTTTATTTTCTGGTTATACACAAAACTTGTCATATTAGAAAATGTAAAGATACAGAAAAGTAAGTAAGAAAGAAATGAGAAACACTCGCAATCCTGTGTCCAGACATAGCCACTGTTACCGTTTGGCTTAGGTCCTTCCAGTCTATTCTTATGCTTATTTATTAATTAGGCTCTCTAATACAACTAAAATAACACCATGTGGTAAATTATCCTGCTTTTTACATTTACTATGGAATAAACAATTTTTCAAAATGTTAACTATTACTTAGCATCATGAACTTTAAATTCTGCATAATAATCAATTGGTTACAAGTATGATACAGAGTATAAGAAATAATATGTTGAAGGATATGTCTGCTTTTTCCAACTTTTATGATTAAAAACAAGTTTTGTGACATTTTTCTACACACATCAAACCATTGCTGTTATGTGAAGCACAGCTGCTTCAATTGTAAGGATCCTAAATCACCCAACAGACATACAAAGATTCTAACTTAAATTTCTTGATAACAAAAACATGGATAATGAAAGGGTTATTTCAGATAAATCACTGCATTTGAAGATTCTAATTATTTTAAAAGGGCATGAGTTGCTAAAGGCACTTTTCAAATATTCTCCACAAAGCTGATGCCACTTGCATTGTTAGTATGGAGTGAAACGCCTGAACATTTGCTGTATCGCTGACGTTACGATCTTGTTTCATGAGTGAGATCTCTTCTTACCATAGGAAGAAGTCCTCTGCATTGGCCGCAGTACTGGAGATCGAGGGCTTACCCCGTGGCACTTCAGCAGGGAGAACATCTTGATTGCCAGCGTCAACTATGAGTGCTGTGTAAAAGAGTCAATGTCAACAACAGGCTCGCAGCACGGCAACACACAGATGATCAGCTCCCAAATGCACCTCTGGAATTTAGGTGGACTTTATCACAGCCAAAGTAGAGAAATAAATAAAACACTCGTCTCCATAATCCAAATCCATAAATTTGATAAACAGAGTAAGGAAAATAGCTTTTCCACAATCAGCACTGCATTGATTTAAAAAATATTTTAAATATTGATTCTACTTTTATTTATCTTCAGTGGGATATTCATCAAAAACATAATGTTCTAACATCAGAATATATGAAATTCATTATTATACATTTTTATTCCATTTAGCTGCTGGTCAATAAAGTATCTAAAAATCAAAATAAGTACTTCAATAACAACTGTGCAATGAAATGTGTTAGAGTTATAAATGTACAGAAACAGCTGCACACAAACCCCCCAATTCATTTTAAACGAGTAACTGGCACCACACAGCTGCAAATCAAAACCCACAGGGAGACTAGACAAGGTTTTCTAGGACAACAACAATTGGCGGGGCCAGCGCTGTGGCACACCAGGTAAAGCCGACACCTGCAGTGTCAGCATCTCATATGGGCGCCGGTTGGAGTCCCCACTGCTCTACTTCTGATCCAGCTCTATACTATGGCTTGGGAAAGCAGTAGAAGATGGCCCTGAACCCACAAGGGAGATCTGGAAGAAGCTCCTGTCTCCTGGCTTCGGATCAGCACAGCTCTGGCCATTGGGGCCATTTGGAGAGTGAACCAACAAATGAAAGAACTCTCTCTCTCTCTCTCTCTCTCTCTCTCTCTGTGCGCCTCTGCCTCTCTGTAACTTTGCCTTTCAAATAAATAAATAAATATTTTGTTAAAAATGGGTATGCTTTGCTCAAAGGTATTGGGAATACAATGTAGACCTTTGCCTCTGATTCCCAATCTGTTCCCCCTAAAAAGGACACCAAGTGGCACAGGACTGTTCAATCACTCTGGCATGACTGGAGTACAGGAATGTCCCCGCTCTTACTGAAGGCTGACTTGAAGGAGAGGTTGGCTCTCTGCTTCAGCCCGTGCCTCAGCCAGGCTTCCCACCAAAGCTTCAGGAAACAACCCAGTGCTGCCCTGATGGTGTCACACAGCCACTGCTGTACGCACTGTGCATTCACTGAGTAGAAATGTCCTCCTCAGAAAAGGTTGATTCACCCACCAGTAGATGGATCTTTGCTTCTCACATTTGAGAGCACAGGTCCAGGATGGAAAAAAGACTTAAACCACCAGGTGGATTCTGCCACTTCAGGGAATCCTGCCAAATAAAGATCATTTTACACTTTCGTCAAAGCAATTGGAGAGGATAAAAGCAAGGGGGGGATAATGAAGGGAACAGTGGTAATAAATAAGCGAAGTACCTTGTTGGAATTTGTCATCATCCATGAAGTTAACAGAATCAGAGCCAGTTAAAGAGCTATCTGAAGAAATACTGGACTCTGTAGGAAACAAATGATAATGAGGAAATTAATAACTGGCAAAAGCATGGAAATACACACACACAATTCATATAGGAACTCTCTCAAATAGTGTGTTCTGAAATCTGACTCAACAATTTATTAATTGAAAAATGGATCAAATTATTAATCAATTAAAAAAGCTTCTATAGTAAGGCATACTCATTTCTATGTAAGCTTAATCTTTCTCTCTTGCCATAGATATAGATGTAGAAATTAGAATACATTGTAAATGTTGTCAAATTCAAAACATTAAGGAAGCACAAACTCAGGAATGAATATAATTATACAACTTTAAAAATATCACACACGTATATATTTAAAATCCTATAAAACAACAAATTTAAAGATTAAAGAATTATTTTAGAAGATTAAAGAATTATTTTAAAAGACTAAACATTTTAGTGAACTAACTAGATTTATATCTTAAATGTGCAATTCTTTTAAAAGACTAGTATAAAATAATAACTTCTATTGATAAAATAACACCAAGTAAACAGGAATAATTTAACCTTTTTGGACAAAGGGTAAGTCAATAGACTTTTCTAACTCAGGCTACAAACAATCCTTGCAATAAAAAATTTTCTATAGATTGATAGAATAGACATTTTCCAATAAACATGAACTTGGTTCTGAAATGTTCATTTTATGAAATTTCTCCATCTTCTCTAAAGAGCTACAGTTTTCTTCGCAGCTATACATATGCACAGATGAAAAGCTAAATAAAACCAAAACTGACCAGATAGACAGATGCTGAGCTACTATGTACAACAGAAAATGAAAATCAGAAAATGTTTGAAGCAGCATCTTGCTCTTCCCTCTATTCTAAAGAATTTGATCTTATTTTACTATACACAATTCAGAGTTTTTAGGATATCTCATGAAAAACATGGTACATAAAATTGAGATTATGAAACAAATGCTTATGTTCATTCATTTAATTCATGGCTCCAAATACACAAGAGAGACAAAGCAAAGTGATGAGGCTGGGCAGGACAGCTTCAGAGGCGTCCGTGGCTCCTGGTCTCATCTTTTTTACTGTCACTGACAGTTTCAGTTTTCTCCCTTGAGTTTTCAGTATAACACATTACATCAGTCAACACCAACAGCACCTCAAGTCACACTCCCAGGGCCGTCTCCAGTGACAACATGACTTACTCCGATAATACTGGTTTTTGGCCAGAAGGCAACCAATGGAAGGCACTGAAGCCATAGCTTCCCCTGTGTGCAGCTGTGAGCAGGAGCTGGGGAACAGGGACTGAGGGAAGAGAAGCTGACATTAACAACATGGAATTCCCTTTCCCTTTCACCGTATGAATATTTTTTTGAAAAAGAATCATTTACCATATACTAAATATCTTATAAAAGGAACTTTATGCCTCAGAAAGAAAGTATATTTTAAAAAAAAAAAAGCCAGTTTACACAAAATTGTGAAAAAGGGTATTGCAGTAAACAACACAATCAAACTTAACTTACCCCAAAACCTGAAGTCAGAGAATGTATTCGCCTAGCCACATAGCCACCACTCACCGGTTTGTTGTCTTCAATTTGATCTTTTCATATGAACTTGGTTCTAAAGTTTGTTCAGAAAATGCACATTTTGAAAGGACTCTGGTCAGTGGTTTTGTTGAGACTGCACCAGCAAAGCTCCCAGGAGGCATGCAGAATGCCCCCGGTGCCCCAGGACACTTGAGCTCCTTATATCAGAATTCCCCGGCTGGCTGGAGCCTGAGCTGTGGACAACTCAGGGTGAGGCGGCACACAGCCAGCGCTGGGCAGGGAGAGAGAAGGGCCCTGCTCTGCCCATCTGCCCTCCAGCAGTCCAGAGGACCTTGGACTGTGTCAGTGTGCCAAGACAGGCTTCGGTCAGCAGGAAAGGACTTCGCCCAGATGCTGCTTTGGACTCACTGTCTCTTATAGCACAACTTACAGCTGGTGGTTACATAGAGAAGGACCCAGTACCCAGGTCATTGCCTCAGCCTTTCATGTAGTCACACATTCTGTCCACAGAGCCATGCTGGGCATTCTGGGGGATGCCACGAGGAGATGGGAGACACACACCGTCACAATGACACTAGCGGAGTCAGCAGGAAGACATCTGTGGAGCTTTGAAGGAATCCTGGGAAAGAAACATTGCAGTAGAACTTGATGGACAGAAGGACAGGGAGTTAGAAACATTCAAGGGAATGACAACACCCAGGGGGAAATCGTGGAAAATGTGGGAAAATGTATGACATGCTAACAATGTGATTTATTGAGGCAAAATTATTTTGATTCTGATTATAGTAACGTTTATTATGTAGATTGTTTTGCCATTTGATAGACTCAATTGACTCACGGATCAAATGTCAGCTCCTCTTTAAATGGAGGGCTGCTTATTTTAATTGCTGTTTCAATTTATTTGGTGGCTGTTGGTTTTGCCAGCTGTGGCATTCCTTCTTAACTCAATTCTGGTAATAAATATAAGGCTGTAAAATTATTCATATCTAGGTTTTGAAATCTATTCAAAACATTTATTGCAGTATGCCATGATGATTCTTTTAAAATCTCTTGCCGGACACGGAAAGCAAAATACTGCATGATCTCCTTTATATGTGGAATCTAAAAAGGTCAAATATATTAGAGAATAGTGATTACCAGGAGCAGGGAGCTTTGGGAAATGGAGAGATGCTGGACAAAGAATATAAAGTTGCAATTGTATAGTATGAATAATTCTACAGAGCTAATGTACAGCAAGGGGATTGCAGTTAACATCATTGTATACTGGAAATTCACAAAGAAAGTAGATTTCAAGTACTCTTGCCACAAACATGCAAAAAAAACTGTGAAAAGATGTATGTGTTAATTTGACTGACAATAATAACCATTTCATTATATGAATGCATGTGAAAACACCATGTTTTATACATTAAATATTTATAACTTAAAACCAAACAATAAATACCCCCTCTCTATTTTTTATTAGTTGTGCTACAGATTTCCCTATTAAATATTTTTCAAACAATTATTTGGTCCTCTCTTTTGCTTCTTAGTCATATTTCATTATTTTCTCTCTTATTTTTATACATTATTCCTTTAAGTAGGGGTTATTCTTATGGCCATTTATGTCAAAATATTTTGTAAGTGCCATTATGCCATTTCCTTGTTATAGGTGTATTTTAATGTTATCTTTACTTGATGATTTCTAATTCACTGCATTATCATGGCAGAATGTCTGATTTTTACTCATTCCTTGAAATAACTTTTGGAAGTGCTTTCTGTGAATTCAGGAACAGTAAATATTCCTTAGCTGCATGCTGTCATAATTTTGGCATAATCTTTCATGTGTCCATTAGACTTTATAACTTAATTTCTTTAAACAGATCATCCACACACTTATCATTGTGTTTCTAGTTTCTGATGATCACATCTTTTTTTTTTTTTGACAGGCAGAGTGGACAGTGAGAGAGAGAGAGACAGAGAGAAAGGTCTTCCTTTGCCATTGGTTCACCCTCCAATGGCCGCCACGGCTGGTGCACCACGTTGATCCGAAGCCAGGAGCCAGGCGCTTCCCCTGGTCTCCCATGGGGTGCAGGGCCCAAGCACTTGGGCCATCCTCCACTGCACTCCCAGGCCACAGCAGAGAGCTGGCCTGGAAGAGGGGCAACCGGGACAGAATCCGGCGCCCTTACCGGGACTAGAACCCGGTGTGCCAGCGCCACAAGGTGGAGGATTAGCCTAGTGAGCCACGGCGCCAGCCAATGTCTTCTAACATAATTTTTGTTTTATGACAAATGCGCATGAAAATCATGATTGTATTTTTTATTAAAATGTTTAATTCTTTAATTGATTTCAATCTGAAAATTTCTACAAAGTCTGGGACTTGGCCAGTTCAAAGCTGGGAGCTTGAGATCAGCATTGTGTTTTACTGCTGATTGGAACATCTGCATCCCATATTGGAGTGTCAATTCAAGTACCAACTGCTCCACTTCTGATCCAGCTCCCTAATAATGCACCAGGGAAAGCAGCAGAGTGTTGCTCAAGTACTTGTGCCCCTGCCACCATGTAGGAGACCAGGAGGGAGATCCTGGCTCTTGACTTCAGTAAGGCCGAGAGCTGACCATTGCAGCCATATGGGGAGTGAAACAGCAGATGGAAGAGATGTGTGTGTGTGTGTGTGTGTGTGTGTGTGTTGCTGTCTTTCAAATAAATAACTCTTTTTTTTATTTTTTGGACAGGCAGAGTCAGAGAGTGAGAGAGACAGAGAGACAGAGAGAAAGGTCTTCCTTTTTCCGTTGGTTCACCCCACAAGTGGCCGCTATGGCCAGCGCGTTGCGGCCGGCACACTGTGCCCATCCTAAGCCAGGAGCCAGGTGCTTCCTCCAGGTCACTAATGCGGGTGCAGGGCCCAAGCATCTAGGCCATCCTCCACTGCCTTCCCGGGCCACAGCAGAGAGCTGAACAGGAAGAGGAGCAACTGGGAAAGAACCGGCTCCCCAATCAGGACTAGAACCCAGGGTGCTGTCACCGCAGGCGGAGGATTAGCCTAGTGAGCTGAGGCGCTGGCTCAAATAAATAACTCTTTAAGAAACATACTGAGGCCAGGGCCAGCACTGTGGCGCAGTGGGTTAATGCCCTGGCCTTTAGCTCCGGCATCTCATATGGGCACTGGTTCGAGACCCGGTTGCTCCACTTCCAATCCAGTTCTCTGCTATGGCCTGGGAAAGCAGTAGAGGATGGCCCAAGTCCTTGGGCCCCTGCACCCAAGTGGGAGACACAGAAGAAGCTCCTGGCTCCTGGCTTCAGATCGGCACGGATCCTTACACAGTCTACATTAGCAGGAAACTGGTCAGGAGCTGGAGCTGAGCATCAAACCCAGATATTCCTATGTGAAAGGAAGGACCTCAACCACTAGACTTAACACTTACCTGGTGAGTGCATCTTCTGAATGAATCTATGCTTCATCTTCCTTTGTCAGCACTCATATTTTACTTTTATGTTACTTATCTAGTGTGTATCATATTAATATTGTTGCACTAGATTTTTCTAAGTAATCACAAAGTATACTTATATATTTTTACATCCTTTATTTTCCACTAGCTTTTTTAAAAATATTAATCACTTTTAGTACTCTTTTATCATATTTTTCCTCACTGTGCTCGTTTTTTTGACTTTTATTTCAAAGTATATCTTATGGATTATAATGGCTTTTTCCCCTGTAACTTCCCTCCCACCCGCAACCCTTTCATCTCCCGCTCCCTCCCCCATTGCATTCGCATCAATGTTTATTTTCAATTGTGCTCATTTTTTGAAAGGCAGAGGTAGACAGAGGGGGAGAGAGAGAGAGAGAGAGGGAGAGAGAGAGAGGGAGAGAAAGAGAAAGAAATCTTCTAACCACTGGTTTACTCCCCAGATGACCACAACTGCCATGGCTATGCCAGGCCAAAGCCAGGAGACTGGAACTCCATCCAGGTCTCCCACGTGGGTGCAGCACCCAAAGACTTGGGCAATCTTCTGCTACTTTCTCAGGCATATTAGCAGGCAGCTGGATAAGAAGTAGAGTAGCCAGGAATGGAACCGGTGCCCATATGGAATTCCAGATTACAGACAGTGGCTTTACCCATGGCACCACAACACTGCCCCCTAATCCAATAATATTTATTACAAATACTGCTATAATTCTCATCATCTATTCTATAATTTCTGTATAACCACAGCATTTTTATATCCTTTGTACTTTATTCACTTCTATTACATTTTGATAGAAAAGAATTTGTATATATAGACCTGTTTCTATTCTTCTCCAGAAGCATTATCCTGTATTTTCCTTCTATTCATTAAATAGACATTTTTATTTTTTACCACCATATATCCTTAACTATGATTTTTTTTTCTAAGCAAGTCCAACTGTAGTCTCACTGGATTTGGGGAAGCATAGATTTTTCTTTATTAATCCTCAGCTGTACTTGGAAGGCACATTAAACTCAAGAGCTCATTTTCTTTTCCACTTAGGCAAATTCTCAACCATGAGTGTTGCTTTTTCTGTGTATTAATGAGTTATGTCCACAATAAATCATCATGGACATTCTAACAGAATGTTCACACTTAACAGAGCAACGAAGCAACAAGAATGCATTTCTGCTCACACACTTGGTTCTGTTTCCATTCAGAGTTGCAGGTTGTCTAGGACTGGACAATCCAAACATGGCTCCAGGTACAGGGTTGGTTTTGGCTAGCGTCATATGCTTATCATTGTTCTGAGAGTAGCAAGTCACCCAGAGCATGTTGCCCTCCTGTGGTTGATGACAATTGCCAGAGGAGTCACTGGTAATTTGCATGTATTTTTAGTTCAAGGCTTGCAATGGTTACATCTTCCACTGACCAAATAAATCATGTCCCTAAAGCCAACACTAATGAAATATAGAGGTCCGCTACTCTGGTGAAGGGTTGGTGGTACAAGGGAAATAAACATTGCTGGATAATAAATGTTTGTATGAAGAATTATGTATTTATTTGAAAAGAGTGAGAGAGGGAGAGAGAGGGCGGGGGTGCGGGGGCAGAAATCTTCCATCCTATGGTTCACTCACCAGATGGTCAGAAGAATAACTTATGGATTTCCCATATGGATGGCAAGGGCATAGGTTCTTAGGTCATCTTCTGTTGCTTTTCTCAGGTCATTAGCAGGGTGCTGGATAAAAAGTGGAGGAGACAGAATGTGAACCGGCACCCACATGGGACTCTGGCATCACAGGCAATAGCTTTACACAGTAATCCACAATGCTGCCCCCAAGGATAATAATTTAAACTACTGCATTCCTTATTCCTCCAA